CGGAATCATGCTGCTGTCCACCACAAACAAAATATTGAGCCACATCATCCTGGAGAGACTAAAATATGCTCTGCGTTCAAAATTATGACCGGAGCAGACTGGCTGTCTCGATCAAATTGCAACCCAACGCTACACATCATCATAGAACAGAGCATAGAATGGCAGTCAACTCTCTCTCTCTCTCTCTCCCTCAACTTTGAAAAGGCCTTCGACAGCGTCGACCGAGAAGTAATCTGGCAGCAACTTCACCACTACGATTTTAGTATCACAAACCTTTATCAACCTCATTTAACACCTATATGCTATATAGTGCTACATGCTAAGTGATTCACAATGGAAAGCTCAGTGGTGTCATTGAAGTGAAGACAGGAGTAAGACAAGGTTGCCACGCACTATCACCGATTATCTTCCTGATTGTGGTCGAATGGACTGGACTGGACTGGACTGGATCATGCAACAAACTGTGAGGGGCGAGAAGATGGGCAAACGCTGGCTGGACCGATGTAAGGACCCTAGAAAATTTGGATTTCGCCTCCGACGATGATTTATGTCTGGTGTCTCACGTCCCACATACTCGAAGATCTACAGACGAAAACCAATAAGTTGACAGAGGAGGCAGGGCAGCAAAGACGAGACTTCAGGTGAACATAGAGAAGACACCCAACCAACAACAACAACAACAAGCACCATCAACGGAAGAAATCTAAAAGAAGTTGTATCTCTCACCTACCTACCGACCGATCTAGGCAGCATCGTTTCAACTACAGGTGGTGGCACAAATGACTATGTCAAAGCCAGGATCGGAAGGACAGAAAAATAGGCCTTCGTTAATTTGAAATCAGTGTGAAGATCTACTGTACTGCACTCCACTGCACTCAGCATTAAGAACAAGATGTGGATTTTCAACTCCAATGCCAGTCAAGTCAGTGCTTCTATGTGATGCTTCGGAGACTTGGTGGGTTACGAAAAGCATTTCCAACAAACTGCAGACATACATCAACAGCTGCCGACTACGCTCACTCGATACTGACACTGAAGACCAGATGGCCAGAATAATAAAAATAAGCAACAAGGAACTCTGGCTGGCTGGCAACCCGCCAACCAAGAACCCATCGCCCACTAAATACGCAGAAGAAATTGGAGATGAATTGGACTCAGCATACACCGAGAAGACTGTTTGGGGGTCGTGTTAGGAATAAATGAAAGCTTCTGGGCAGACATGGATCCAGGTTGAAAATACCGCAGAGAAGAGAGTGAAATGGTATGTGCTACTGAAGCCCTATTTGTCACTAGGAACCCATGGGGAAGATAGTATTAAAACTGCATGTTTACTTTTTGGAACTTATCAAATAATTATGATTTACCATATGTGATGAGAAACTAAATTTACTCAGTAGGTAGTGTTGTTTGTATTCCGGTTTGCTCTTCTGCTAGTGTGGTTAGACATCTTGATGATGCTTTATTCGACTTCATCCAACTGGTTAGTATAAGCATACTGAACAACTTTACTACGTCCTTTTATTCTGCATTGCTATAGGTTATTCAAAATTAAAGTTTTGTTACTAGCTTTGGTATGTACATCTCGCTGTAGGGAACACTTTTTCTGATTTTTAAGAATAACTTTGATATGCATTCCTTGTTTGGAATTTAAGTCTTGAATTTTGATTAGAAAATGCGGTTAGGAAATCCATGCCCTTGTTTCATATTATTTAGCAGTTAAGACCATAATATTTATTTCTTTAATCTAGAAGTAGTATTCATCATGGACTGACATCAGTTGGGGAACCGTTGAAATCTGGGAGCACTGGACAGCTGTTTCGTAATAGTATGGGACTCCTCAGCAGTACGCACCCACGACCCGGCCAGGAGTCGGACTCAGGACCTTCAGGTTTCACGGCTAACGCGTTAACCACTCAGCCACTGGGTCGGCTAACGCGTTCGTCCGACTCCTGGCCGGGTCGTGGGTGCGTACTGCTGAGGAGTCCCGTACTATTACGAAACAGCTGTCCAGTGCTCCCAGATTTCAACGGTTCCCCAACTGATGTCAGTCCATGATGAATACTACTTCTAAATTAAAAGTCCCCATTCATCTCAAAAATATATTTCCTTAGTTTAGTCCAAGCCTGCTTTATGTAATTAATGCCACAGTTTATCTTATGTTTGGACTCACTAGACATTTGTCAGCTGTGTAAGCCGATCAGTGGTAGAAACTAACATTGGAAAGAAATTTGGTCAATTTAGGCAGCAGCGATATGTACTTGCTAAAGTTAGTACAGTGACAGAACAGAAAAGCTGGCAGCTACTCGTTTTATTGAACATATTAGAATTTGGCTGTAAACTCCATATTCTTAACAAGCTTGTCAGCAGAACTGATAGACGCCGCCTTCGGAATTCTTTACAACCAACTATGTGATTGGAAACCGATCAGTGAGAATGAAAGTTGGTACGAAGCAAGATCGGTCGACAATGCAAGGCAATTGAAAACTACATTCGTCAACGTATTATTATGCATACGGTCACCGTTCGTTCACATTGAGAATAATGACAGTAGTGTATTCATAAAGCAGGTCAGTCTTTCTAGAGATTCATTATTGCAGGAATCAGATTCCGTGTAACACAGGATGTCGATTCTTAATGGGTACTCCAAGATAAGTGCTGAATATTCAAAGAAAGATAGAATCTCGGTATGAGAAAATCAAATTACAAAACACGTAACAGAAATGAAAAGTAATCGACAGAAAAAACTGTTCTGGCCTTAAACCCCAGGTAGATCGCAATAATCAGAGGCGACATTAAGGAGGAGCGATGGGGGGGGGCGGGGGGAAACATTATCGAACAAGCTAGAAAAGTTTATGGCAGAATCGTCGGCTACTGTGGTAGCATTTAATTAAAAATGAATTTATGAAGCATTCACAGTTTGATTGACGTTTTCAACGACATCGAATTCACAGTGGAGAGGGAGCTGAGCTACAAAATGCCATTCCTGGATGTTTTAGTTAGCAGAACCAACGCCAGAAATTTGGAGGAAGTCAACATACACTGATCAAATCCTGACCTTCGGTAGGAACAATTCACAAAGTTTTCGTACAAATTTTATTCAAAATACAAAGACACACTACAGTACAACAGTTTCACGGGAAAAAGAAAGAAATTACCTGATGCCTGTCCTAGAGGAGAACGGTCACCTACTCAGCTTCATCCCCAAATGCCTATAACGTTCATCATCAACTACAATGTCATTCATGGAAATCAGAGAATGGACCACCCTACCCTATAAGAAGGATATATCACAAATTCCGACGAGATTACTGAGACCTTTTGTAACTGGTTTGGCTTATAAAACAAATTCCTTTCAAACCACATTATGCAGACCAAAGGATGCACCAGCCAGAGATGACAAGTCAGATGCCATTTGCAAAATCAACTACGATAAGCACTACATTGGATAAAGTTGTCGCAATCTTCACCAGCGCTTGCATTAACAACAGTTGGCTATTAAACGTCATGGCATTTCGTCGCTCATATCAATTCATACAGACGACCATGGAAATGAATTCATCTTTGAAAATGTAGAGATGCTGAACACAGGAAATACAAAGAATTCCTAGAAGCTTGGTATTCAGGCCAACCGGCAGTCAACAGACAATCGATGACACAACGACCAAAGGAAATCACCAATCACACATGACCTTACCATGGCAAACTAGTGAAACACTCACGGAGAAATACGGGTAGCTCACTTCATATTGAAATTCGTGCTGATGTTGTATAGAAAGGTAATGAAAGCTTCACAAGTAAACCACTCAGTTCAGAGAACGTGAAACAAGCAAGACAACCAACTTGAGCTTCCATCAGTTTCGGTCACTCCGAAGGTGGATCAATGCCAATATCGTGTCAGACTGCATTTACCAATTCTTTAGAATAGGATATGGTATGTTTAGAGAACACAGAGAGATAAAGCTAGTCGTCTTGAAAAATTAACGGTCGAGTTCACCGAATCGTTTCAGCAACCAAATCACTGGTTATTTTTTGACACAGAACACAGAAGTGAACAGATTTTCGGAGTAATCAATAAACACTTTTATACCACCTTGATTTGGTGCGTAGAAGCTATCACAAGTAAGATGTCACAGCCTGATACTCGTATTCAAAAAGAGTTAGTAATCAGCCTGCAACTGACTTGAAGATTTTTCATCCTTGCTTCCCGTTTTTCCACATCCTGTCTAGACAATGATTACAACTACTCGGTCTTCCCGTAACTACGTCATTTTAACCTAACGATTGCGACTGAATATCAGTCTAATAGGAAAAGTCTCCCCGACATATCATTTCGACTTGATACTTCAATATTTTCCACTATAGCTAATAAATTCCATACTACGAAGTATAGCACGTTGATTCATTTCAGTGATTGTAAGCAGCTGAAAGCACAGTACCCACGTAAAATGCATATTTTAAAATCTGTTCTTACTGCACTACTGAAGTTTGTAAATCGAAGTAGATATAGGAAAACTTCTTGGCAAGCACTTACTCAAATGCCTCAATGTCATCGATTGCAGAGGTCTACAGTATCAATTTGATGGAAAGAAGGACAGCATATACATACACAAGCCACCTGAAAGGAATATTCATGTGCTTGGGTAATTTTATGTTAAGACTAAACAATACTCATGTATTCCTGTAATAATTAACAAATTTAATAATCTCAACAGGGATTTATAGCTTCAAAATAGTCAACTATGCAACTGTAGTCCAGATTATGTTGTATCTCCCTGCTTTCCGATCTAAGTTTGGCATTCATAAGGAAAGGATTTCAACTTTTGAGGTAATGGCGATGTGAATATTTTGAATATTTCCTAAGAAAGTTAACAAGGCAGATGATGAAGATGTGATGAAGAAAAAAGTTCGTTGTTTTGTTACAAATTTAGATAGCATACTGGTTTTTTGTACATTTTTCAGCTTCAAGTTATTGCTTAAAATTACAAGATTAATAATAATCATCAAGTAATAGAACACGTCCATTTCTCAGATGTTTCAGATTGGAATGACGAATCTTCTGTGGTCCCATTAAATAAGTGCTCGTTCGAATCCGTTATGCTAAGAGCAGCAGAAGAACCTGAAGGGAGGAAATGATCTATCGATGTCCAGTGCTTTTCATTCAAGTTATCAGAATTTAGCATAACTGGGGTTGGACTGACGAACTTGTCGAGATAATCTCGTCTTGACCTCGAAGACGAGTTAAGAAGGAGAGACTGGTCAACTTTGTTGTGCTCAAGGTGAAACATTGTGTCAAACGTCGAAGGATAATTCAAGTGAAATGATACTTTCTCAACTGCCTGCAACCAAATGAAACAAAAATGAAAGCAAGGAAGGAACGCATATGTATATATATAATATATACTCATCGCTAATTTCCTGTAGATAAAACCAACATTGATTTCAATGCTTTCTGTCCTGTACGATTCACATTTGCTTGGCAGGTTTCCAGTTTTGAAAAACCGGAAAGCTATAAATTAATCGGCATGAAAGTACAAACAACCACACCCTTTGTAGTGTACAGTACTAATAGTTCTAGTCAACGAACTCCATATCAGTATATCATAGTGAATACTTTTCCTGTTAACTATAAATATGGATAGCTAGTTTACAAGAAATAAATGAAACGCCCTCAGTCACCCTGTACACATTCGTGCAGTAGGCAGTCAGCCACAGCTACTACCTGGCTGCCCAAACCTCGGTAGATGGGGCGGGGATTGAACCCATGACCCACTGGTGGATAGTCATCTCCCTAAACCACTGAGCCACAGATCCATCTGCTTTGCAAGACATTCGGAAAACTACATGATTGATTACAAACAGCAATTATAAATAAACTTAGTGCAGCTCGAGTGTTCCCTGGTTGCGTATTGTCGAGAAACAAGTTATTGAATTGGTTGTAGAGTCCCGAACACTGGAAATATAAACTTATGTATATCATAAAAATTACCAGTAATCATTTTAAAGGCTGAGTAGGATAACAAACAGTCCTTATACGCTGCTTGGTCATCGAACTATGTGAAAAGTTAGTTACAATAACTAAATAAAAAAAGGCCAAAGAATATTACTTTACTATTCTTTCGAAGTTGTTCAACATTAGTCAACCAACAGTAATGTTTTAATCAAGTACCTGAATGGTGAATGCTTCCGCAAAACAAGAAGCATTTGAACTTTCAATTGGGCATTCGTCATAGACTGATATCAGTCAGAGAAACAGTGAAAAGGCGGGAGAACTGAACAGACGATTCATCCTAGCATGAGACTCAGCAGTGCGCACTCATGATCCCGTCGGGGATCGAACACAAAACGTTCAGGCTTCGCGACAAGCACGTTACCATAGAGTCACTGTGTCATAGTCCCCATTTCCCTATTTTTATCAATTGGCGATACAGTGCGATCTCCATCCAATGCTATCGGTCATAAGGAAAAATGCTCAACGATGGCACTGGATGAGGGTAGCGCTATGTCGGAAAGTGTGAACCATTGGATTCAAACCTTGACTCAATGGTAACGAGCTGACCGCGGAAACTGTATGTTCTGGGTTCGGTCTCTGGTGAGGTCACAGGTGCGCACTCCTCAGGGGTCCGACACCGGGACGAAACAGCTATCCAGTGCTCTCATGTGTTCAGTGGTACTACTATTTATGCCAGTCTGTGATAAATACTGAATTGGAATCAATGAACCCTCACAAACCTCCAAATATTGACTTTCTCTGAAAATTAGGCAGCGAGGTGTACGATCAAGAACAGCACATTTATTTCACAAACTTGTTTTCTTCTTTAAGGATGAAAAAATGTGGCTTCACTAAAATTATTGACATTCGTGCCTATGGTGCGCGAATACTTGACCTGAAGCATGAGAGCGGGTGAAAAAAAGGCATGAACTTGAAAAATTCTCAGAGTAAACATATAAATACAGTGTGCCGCTACGGCTTTAAGAGAACTGGCGGCCAGCTGAAACCTTGGGCTACCGAAAGTTTCTCACCGAGTATATTTCAACAAATTTTTGCCTTTCAGTTTGTTAGAATCTATTAAATATGTATTCTAAAAGTATCATGGACTCTTGCACATTTTTAAAGTGTTTTCAAACTGTCCTTTCTCAAGCTAAGAACAAGACAAAGAAAAAGAGTTACGCCGGATTAAAATGGACTTATAAATGCTCGAAAATACAGCACATTACTATTTCTAGGATAACTATACGAAATCACATATTTTGGTACTGACTGATTGAACTACCAAGATCAAAATTACACTCCATTTTGTGTTCATTCCTGAGTCCAGACCACACGCTCATGTAACACCAGCTGCCTGTTTCACATTTGTGCCTTCAATACTGTTATTATTAACAATATTCAGATGCAATAATTATTTCTTTTAAACATATTGTACAGGGAGCGAATTTGATGAAATATTACATGCTGAGAATAACATACTGTATTGCACATGTTTGGAATTAAACAATTATTGTTGAGAAAAAAAGTCTTTCAATGAGAATATGAAGATGAGTGAAATTTTTTTTCAATGAACACCATTTAAGTGCTGGAATTTATTCCGTGTCATGCTCTATTTGCGATCGAAAATCAAATAAGTACGGACGTTAAACAGTGTCTAGAAATTCACGAGCATGCTACGGTAAGGATATGGAAGGGATGCAAATATAAAGTATTTTCGTTGTACACTTGTTATATGATAACTGAATTAAAAGACTGGTGTAAAAAATTATGTCTAGAATGTATTCAAGATAACAAAGATGTTGAAGCTTATCTAATATTTCAACATCATGCCATATATCTAACAGTAATATTATGAAAACTTGCTTACTTTTGATGGTTCAGCAAACGAACAGTTTGAAATTTCCCGTTGCAGTTTTGAATACTGAAATGAATCAGTATCAGAAGCATTTGAGGCAGCTGGACTATTGATTTCTGTCACTTGCTCGACATGTGTATTAGGGATTATTCCCCGCTTGACAAATACGTTAAAATTAGGAGATCCTATAGAAATATCATTTTTTTCCTTTAAGAACAATTGAAGCTGACTCAAAAATTCACTGGAATCAAAATAAGATTTTAAAGGTATATATAGTGTAGCATGATTTAAATGAATGGAGATTAATAGTTACGCAGTACACAACTTCTAAAGACACAATAACAAGAAGAAAAATTAGCAACGAAATCAACACTTTCAGTAAATAACTTCATAAAACTGCTATAAAATCACAGTTCACAGTGAATTTTAGTTACTTTTGAAAATCACATCTGCATCTTCCTATCATGCTCGTTTCTAAAATAACAATAGTGCTAAATGACAAGTTAAAAAATGGTCTAACAACATATACTAATCATGAGATAGTAACTGATTGCACTGTGAATTTTATAAGAACTAGAATACCTTAACCAATCGCTAAACGTAGAAACGTCAAAACTACAAGATTTATTAATACAAGCAGTTTGGATGACATTGGGTATTCTGGAATTTGAATGAAAAACCATCGTAATTATCCATAAAAATGGGACTGTAAAGTTCAAGTATATAATTTTTGGTAACATTATTTGCATCACATCCTTGAAGACTGAATTTCAAACGATCATAGAGTACTAACACTACTATTTTCTTGAGAAATAATGAAATTGGGCCACTCCTTCAATAGTTTCATTCACAACGCATTGAATACATGGTGGGTTAGCATTTATACACTTAGGAAGACGAAGGTCGCAAATAATTAGATGCTGACACGGTATAAGGCACTCGACCTGGACATCCTACCCACAGCTCATCTAAGACATGGAAGTGAGACTAAAGTCAAGCAGCTGACTGAATTATTTGAGATAAGACAAACAGTATTCTTTCGTATTGTGGGAAAAGAATATCCTCGACGTGCGTGACGATTAACGGGTTATCAGGCTGCGTCAAAAATATTCACAATAGATGTACTAATGGACATAACCTTAAACATGCCGTGCATTACAGCGACTGATCTACTCCCTGGAGATCATCTAGTTGACTTGGAGTATACAGATGATATAACCCCCCCTAGGTGGGGACGCTGACAAAATGCACGTTGAGTAGAAATCCAAGTTTTTTAGCAGGCAAGTCGCACAAGTCAATTACATGACAATGCTTCAGGACTGTTCTGCAACCACTCCTAGTTGAATGGTGGAAAGAGTTGCATCAGCTCGAACTGGCTGGTTGCTGACGAAATCTCAGAAAGGATACAGAAGGCCCGCTTGGCATTTGCTAACTTGGGTTATCTGTAGCAACGACGAGACATCCGACTAACTATCGAAGGACAAGTATACTGCACTGAAGCTCGTTCTGTCCTATTATGCCGCTGAAAATTGGCCGTTGAAAGTAGAAGTTATGAAGCGACTACAGGGTTTTGATCATAAATGTCTTCGTAGCATTGCTTCAGTTTGGTGAAATCGCCATGTGAGCAATGTTGAGATCAGGCGAAAGGTACCCTGCGAGACAGGCAAGTCGATTAATGAATTTGTGAACCTTAGTCGACTCAGATAGCTTGGACGTGTGTTGCGCATTTTGAGTCACCAACTAGCTCAACGTGCCATGTTAGGGGAGGTTGGATTAGGCTGGAAGAGGGTTCAGGGTGAATAGACCAAGACGCAGCACTAGTCCATGAAGTCACTGATTGTTGGTCTGAGTCGTATAGGGAGACTACCCGGTTTAGATCCCCGGAAAGAAAGGTATCAGGGGTTAAGGACTCTTGGTGAAATGGCTGAAAATCGGTCACAATGGAGTAGATGTATTCACTCCTAGACATCTAAAGCTTGAATATTCGCAGTTATTTTCATCTTCAGATTGCTTATTCTCTCACACAACTTTGTCTTCTCTGATATCACTTCTTTTCTATACACCTGTTCTTTGTGTACTACAGTAAAATGTGGCAACTCGAGCCAATGTACATGTGTGCATAGTTCTACGTCAATTTTATGTCTGCCTGCAGAACATGTCTGGTTGTGTTCATGTTGTTAACCCATAGATGACGTCTAAACATACACGTATAGTAGGTCCATTAATTTCGTGACAATCGATAGTAGGGCTGTTTTCTACTTGTTGTCCACGACTGTGATCTAGATTTTTAGTTTGCAATGAATTTACCAGAAAATTACGGTAAAATCTTTAAGACTGCATACAACCGAATACACATAGCCTTCTCTATATTGTACCAATGTGATAATGGGATTCAATATGTCTGTTAGGCTTCACTATCACTCATCCAGGCTGTCACCTATAAATTGCTGGAGAGAAGTGCATGGTGACCATAGTGCTGTATATCTGACATCAGATCAGATACCTTTCCTTCCAGAATATGAAGATACTGTATTTGTGTGCGACAACAGCAGACAGTCTACTCGCGTTACTCTATTTGCAATTAATCAGTTGGTCATTGTCAGTAAAACTATTGTGTGGTGTGCTTTGCAACACGCAGGTGTAAATTATTATCAGAATCTCTTCAGAAGCAAAGGTAGTCGAACAGTTTTTGCAATTTCGTAGAATTGTCAGTGCTAGCGTCTATGTACGTGATTACATTCCCACCAGTATACCTATATTTCAGAAGGGCCTGACTAAAACCCGGGTACAGGAAACCCGACAAACACTTTTCAGATTTGGCCACACATGTATCCATCAGATTTCTACACCCTGCAGACCCATTCGTCGACGCCAGAGAGTAGCAGTCAGACCGACAAAATCAACGCAGAACCCTGTACACAAGTTAATCGGTCCAAGTTGGCACACTCCACAGTAGTAAACAAACAACAAGTGGCCAGAAGGGACTGACATCGAAGTAGGTACAAGTGTATGCGAGGAGAGGGAATTCAAAAATCAAGGTTAGTCAAAACATTGAAGTTGTAGAAGACATCAAGGAGTGAATACATCTGCGCCATTGTGACTGATTTTCAGGCGTTTCACCAACAGTCCTCAAACAATGAATCCTATCATCTCCGGGACCACAGACAGATAAGGTAGTCTACACTCTCTACACAACTCAGATCAACAGTCAGGAACTCTATGTACTAGTGCCATGTCTTATTCTGACCACCTTGAACCCTCTTCCAACCGAATCAAACTTCCAGTACTTTTCAACGTCGAGGTAGGCCAAACAGTATCAACACATTTCTCGATTCGATGGCGGCATTTGACTCCACCGATCGGAAGTTTTTGTATTGCCACTAACAGGAGGACTGGTTAATTAGATCACCTTATTGAGGTCTCAATATTCCAACCTCCAGTGGGATGTAGTGAAGTGGGTTGTATACTTCAGGTAGTGTCTGCCAACAATGTCCACTTTCTCGATTTTCATCATGAAGTGACATCAGTTCGAGAACCCTTAGAAACTTGGTAGCAGTGGATAGTTGATTCATTCTAGTATGAGACTGAGCAGTTGGCAACCACGATACTGCCGAGGATCGACCTGCGGATCTTCAGGTTTTGCGCCATGCACGCTCCTAAGAATCCTATTCATACACCTTCGAGGGTATTTGCAAAGTAAGAAATCGCCTCAATCTGTACATGGAGAACACATTATTTATTCATGTAAGGGATCACAGCTGCTTGGTAATAGGATCGAGGTACTCATAGATGACCTGAGTCGTAGGATATTATCGATATCTAACTCACCAAACAACACATGCGTTGCAATACACCATTATTTCATTTGAGGGTACGATGAATTTGCATTCTTTGAACAATAAAATTCGTTTACAACCCCCTACCACAATATTATAGTGCCTGCTATCCGGTCATACATCAGTTCACTTCCTTGATTCGTTGAAAGAAAGACATAATGAAGACATCTAGTTTTTTGTGAAATCTGTTCGTACTCATTTCGACTGACATTTTCCTAACAGCACAAGCTATTCATAGGCTTTTGAATCTCTTGTAGCTTCTTCCTTAAAAAGCAGATAGAGATAAAACATGTGAATATATGTTCCGTTTATTTTCAGGACAACCATCTACATCTCGTTCTTCAAACTGATGATCGAATCATTTTGGTGAACAAAGATCAAATGACGGCCCAAGTTCACACCGAGAACAACGCTGAAACAAAACAATATCTAAGCCAACATTGGCTAGTTAGAGTAATTTCACTGAATACACGTTATCATAACCTGGCCTAGTTTACTAGTTCACTAGTTACCAGCCGGTTCTATGCACGGATAAAGAGCAAGCGTTGGGCTTAGGACTAGCAACCCTTCACCGGAAAACCAATCCAATCGCTAAAGACACTTCAAAGCACAAACAAAATAGAAAAAGATAATAATAAGCTTATCCCTCACTGGAATCGGGAAGACGAAATGACACACGTCGGTGGGAGCCTTCGCGAAGCCAATTCGCCGATGTGTCTTCACTTCTCTCGATCAAAACAAAAGTAAGCATGGGGACATGGAATGTACGCACAATGTTTGAACCCAGCAAGGCTGCCCAGATTCCGAAAGAAATGAGAAGATAGAGCATAGACGATATAGGAATCTGCGAGAGCAGATGGAATACAAGTGGGCTCACCAAACTGTCAAATGGAGAGTCAATAAGCTACTCCGATATTGTCACTCACACGACAACCACGAACACACTGAGTTTTCGACTGGCTATCATGATGTTCCCCCTCCTCCCCCCCCCACCCCCGAACAGCATCGAAGGCTCTCCCTCATGCAATGGGAACCAATCTCCTCCTGCAGGATCAGAATCATGACCCCAAAATTCAACTCAAAAGGAAGGAAAGTCACAACCATACAATGCTACGTGACGCACCTACAAATAATGCAGTTAAACAGAAGAAGCAGGAGTTCCACAGACAATTCGATAATACCCCACCCCAGTTGGCGACATCAAAATTCTAATCGGTGACATCAATGCCAAACTAAGAGTGGACAACACAGGAAGAGAACTCATCATGGGTTGAGAGGCACTCAGCGAAATGAAGAATGACAATGGAGAACTGTTTGCAGACTTCTGCGCATTCAACAACTTGGTGATTGCAGGCGAGGCAGCGTGTACAAACACAAGGATATTCACAAAGCAGTGACATAGATT